TGGGTTTTTATACCTTTCCATTTTGTGATAGAAGGCGAGACTATTGTCATCTTTTAGTAACTTTTTCGGGCCGAGAGGTGCTACTGACAACAGCTAGGAAAATTTTATGAAAATTTACAAATAATTGTGTGGTTCACACGATCACTTGTTTTGTGTCTGAGTGTAATTTATTTATGTGTGTTTTACAGCAGTCTGGTTACCAGAGCATAGGCTTAGTCGGTAATCGAATCAGATGGCCGTGCATGAGATGTGTCAAATTTTATAATAAATAGTCTAGTGGTTGGTAACACGAGTTTATCTTTATTTCTAGTGTTTATTTTATGTATGTCGCTAAACTTTGTGAATAAATGATTATTTTTCTTTACATACACTAAATTTTCATAAATGTATTGAGATGCGACTGTCACGATACCAATTTCTTTAAACTTATCCCTCAGTGACTGCCTATAACTGAGATTATAAATTGCACGAATAGCTCTCTTTTGCAACACAAAGATACTTTGAATGTCAGCAGCATATCCCCACAACAAAATACCGTATGACATTACACTATGAAAATAGCTAAAATACACCATTCTAGCTGTTTCTACATCGGTTAATTGACGAATTTTGTAAACCGCGTATGCTGCAGAGCTGAGTCTATTCGACAATCCGTCAATGTGTGGGCCCCATTGCAATTTAGAGTCTAGTGTTATACCTAAAAACTTGGTGGTGTCCACATGATCCAACTCCTTTCCATTTATTAGAACATTGGTCTTTACCTGCGTAACATTAGGTGTAAAAAATCTAATACATTTCGTTTTATTCTCGTTTAAAAGTAAATTATTAACATTAAACCAGTTCACAACCTTAGAGAGAGTGCTATTCTCGTCATCAGTTACTGATTGCTGTCGTTTAAGTTTAAATAAAAGTGAAGTGTCATCCGCAAATAGTACTATCTCCTGATTATCATTTATCACATTAGGTAGGTCATTTATGTAAACAAGAAATAAAATGCAATTTCCTGATTAATGTTTCATGAAAAACGCAGTCGAATGCTTTAGATAAATCACAAAAAAACACCCAGGGCATCCTGTTTATCCTCCCAGGCACTAAATATATTTTCCAAAAGTTCACACTTGTCGAGCGACCTCTTCTAAATCCAAACTGTTTCCTGTGTAGAATTTTGCTTGCACTAAAGTGAGTTTGTAGCTGATCCAGTATAATCTTCTCAAAAATTTTACTGAAAGTAGGCAACACTGAAATTGGTCTATAATTTGTAGGATCAGACGTGCTACCCGCCTTGAATAAGGGAATGATCTTACTATGTTTCATCGAATCAGGAAATACACCACATTCAATGCACCTATTGAAAATTAAGGCCAACTCTGATGCAACTACGCTAATAATTGATTTAGTTATTTGTACAGAATTAGGTCGGCGGTTTTCTTAACACTAAGAGCATTGAACGTTTTTAGTATATCTCTATCAGTGATACAACTAAATCTAAACTCAGTATTACAAATGTTAATATTCTCTTTCAATAAAGATTCTGCAATAGTGGGGGACGAATTCAATGATTCTGTTATTGAGACTGGAATGTCTGTGAATTTTTTTTCAAAAGCTGTGGCGACATCTATATCGGAATTAATTACTTTATTATAAATTTTAAGGCTGTAATTATTACATTTGTTCTTTGCTTTACCAGTTTCTGTATTAATTATTTCCCAGGTCATTCTAATTTTATTTGAACTATTACTAATTTTAGACCTTAATTGGTTAACTTTTGCAGAATAACATTTTTTTTTTAAATAAATTAGAATATTGTTTGACATATTCTCGAAATTCCATACTAGTATTATAATTTCTTTCTTCATAAAGCTCATAAAGCCTTGTTCTACTTTTATACATACCTACGGTGGCCCATTCACTGAAGGTTGTAGCACCTTTAACTGACAACTTCTTAGGCGTGAAAGTTGATTTAAATTCTGAACAATACATGTTAAAAAAAGCGCTATATAATTGATTAGGATCATGACTATAACCCAAGCGGGGTAGTTTACTAAGGAGTTTATTTTTGAAATTTTCCATACGAGTTACAGTTTTAGGTACTACAGTAATATCTCGTGTTACCACCATTCTGTTTTTCATAGCAAAAGCACACATCTGTCCACAGTGATCAGAATGTAGTTTGTTTAAATAGTAGTAATAGTATTAATATACGTTTAATTCTTGGGTAAACAGCCTCTTGAAAGAAGCCAAGCTAATCAACATGGAAGGCCCGGACAGTTCCACGGAACAGCTTAAGCCACCACTACGCGTGGACTTACTTGATCCTATCTCCGTTGAAGATCGACAGCTTTTGGGCAGGCAGTTTTGCTTTATAAATTTAACCTATTTACTCTTTCCACTTATGACTAAATTTGCAATATTAATTCGAACACGTTCCCTCTAGGTACGGAGTGTGGCCGATGGTTGGACTTTGTACTCCGAACCCTGATACTCCTGACGAGATACTAGGTCGTCTGCTCTCTGTGCTGTTCCATTGGTTCCATGTTACCAGCTTTTCGTACACCGGTAAGAATAATTGTTTACGATACATCTATCTCTGTAATTTAAGAGTTGGTCAGTCGGGTAGCGAATTGTCTGTTTCTATACATAGATTCTACGGAGAACAATCGTTCATGACCTAACACATGTCACCATTACCATGACTTAAGCGAGCGTAACTCTCAACTGCCTAGCAGAATACAAAATTTACCTAAATGACTATATAGTGGTCACATTTACTATGTAAATAGTTAACTGGTTGTTATTTTTCTATAATACGAGTATGTATGTATTTAAAAATATAAAAGTATGGTTAACAGCTGATTACAGGCTCTGCCTAGTTTGGGATCAGACGGCCGTGTTTGAGATGTGTAAGATATAATAGGTCTTTACCTATGAAATTGCCGTTTTGTATGCAATAAGTGAAAGTACTTGTTTTTTCAAACTTTTTTTATTTCTATTATTCGAAGTAATCACCCATGCAATCGACGCATTTTTGCCAACGCATTGGCAGTTTATTGATGCCCTTCTTGTAAAAATCAGCTGGACGGGAGGCAACAAACTCTTCAAAGGCATTTTTACTGCCTCTCGGGAATTGAATTTTTTACCCACTAAAATGTTGTCTAAATTTTGTAAAAAGTAATAGTCGGTAGGTGCAAGGTCTGGTGAGTACCAAGCAGCCAGCTTTGGTCAATCGGTCGTCCCCACTGCTCCTTTACGACAACGCGCGACCCCATACTGCGCAACAGACAGTCTCCAAGCTGCAAGAGCTGGGGTTGGAAGCTCTCCCTCATCCGCCATACTCACCAGACCTTGCACCTACCGACTATTACTTTTTCCAAAATTTAGACAACATTTTAGTGAGTAAAAAATTCAATTCAGGGTAAAATAGAATCGTGCAGGAGTCACCTGATGATAAGGGATTACCGCGACCCGTGGACACCTACAACACGACAGACATCCCCCTCTCCTAAGAATAGGAGGGGAAAAGGTTGGGCTTCCAGAGACCCAATCACTCAGTTAAACGCGATAAAGAATTGGTTAACACTAGTTTTCTGTAAGGGCCCGGGGCCTCCATTTGTGGCGAAAAATAGATCTTCCACGACTTCAAACTTTGTACAGTATTTTTAAAAATGTTTTTGTCTTCAGATTGTACTGCTTGATTCCATACGGGATTGTGACCCAGTCCTTCTGGGATTACATCATGCCAGCGTGGATGGAAGCAATTTGCACCGATGTACCAGAAAAGGTACGTCAACAATTTTTTGAAGTGAAAACTTCTTTAGGCGCGTTGGGCATTTTTGAAAAACAAACAAAACAATGTATTTTATGAGAAAAAATCATTGAACTCGCGACACTGTTACCGTAACCGTCACTTCTATTGAAGTGAAAACTTTTTCAGACGCGTTGGAATTTTTGAAAAACAAACAAAATAATGTACTAACCTTTACTGACACCTCTTTTGAAGTAAAAAAATTCTTTAGTTGGGCATTTTTTGGAAAGGTAAAAAAACAATTGAACTGAACTGAACTGTTACCGTTACCGACAATTTTGCTTCTAAGTTTTCACTTCTGTCGGCACGCCCGGAGTGCCACTGTTTTATTTTGTTAGGGTAACATTGGGCAAACGAGCAGACATGTCACTTAATGGTAAGTGATTACCGCCGCCCATGGACAACACAAAAATTTCATCAAAATCGGTCAGAAGAGAACAAATGAACAAAATAACATTAACAACTAATTGAAATTATTTTCTTCGCCGAACTAACATAATCATACTACACTATAGGAGCTCATGGAACTGAAAGTCTCCCTGGGTAAGATCCTGGAGCCTGAAGGTGCGTTGGTGGGTGTAGACGAGAAGAACCTGTACAAATTCGCTGTGATGAAAGTGACCACCACACCTACTCCAGACACTGTGCTGCCTGTCCTTGAATGGTTCCAGGTAAAACTTAGTGGTTCTGAAACCATATATTCTATTGTATTTTCCTGTCATTTCTCCCAACTCTATTTAGGGTCGGCGTCAGGGGTTTTAGCTGATTTATTTTTCCAATCAGGGTTTGCATCAAGATGATTCGTTTAATTTGTAACTAGCTTTTCCGGTTTCACCTATGTTACAATCTGATAATGTAGCTTTCCATTCGTGAAAGAATTTTTAAAATCAGTTTAGTGGTTTAGGCGTGAAAGCGTAACAAACAAACAAACTCACTTTCACAGTTATAATACCTATATAGATACCTGTAAATCAAGACATTTAAGTGCATTTCAGCATATTATGAAGGCATAAAATAAGACTTCCGAGTTAATCTGAACCAACTATTATTTCTTGTAAGACAGGGTTTAGGATTTTTGTTTTTTTTTTATAGTCATCAACAGCCTTTAACAGTCCACTGCTGGACATGGGCCTCTCCTTCGAAAGGAGATTTTGGCCTATTATACCACGCTGGCCAGACGGGTTTGTGTAGGGTTTTTGTCAAGGTTTCCTTCTCTTTGGAGTGCTGTTGTCCTGGGTAGATTGCTCCCTTAGTCTTTTCTTACGACACCCACGTGATAAATAAGGGTGGTGACACTCTGTATTCTTAATCCGTCACCACACGGACAGTTTTTATAGTATAGGGAGTAAACGAGCAGACGGGTATCTGATTGTAAGTGACTACCATCGCCCATAGACATCCGCAACTCAAGAATCAGGAGGATGTGGAGTAACACTACTCACTTGGTGAACAGCATTAAAAGAATTCTTGAAACTCGTGGAACTCTTGACGCCCTTTCGGCTGCACAAAGGGAACATGGGGGTTCCCACACAGGAGGGGTCATCTACCTGCTGTAGATGGCCCGAGATACCAGGGATTTCCTTTCTAGGGTACACCTGGTTCCCCGGTTACTGGAACCCGAAACGGCGTGCGGTTTTTGGTGGGTTCGAGTCCGACATAACCACCCCACCGGTGGTTACTATCCGAGGGGAGTTCCGAGTTCCGTACAGGAAAAAAAGCAGAAGGTGGAGTAACGTCATACACTCGGTTAGCATTGCAACCCCGTTCGAGCCTGACCTATATGTGGCGAAACGTGGCTCTCCCACGAAAATAATAATAATAATAAACCTTTATTAATTCTTGTTTTACAATAGTTGGTAAATATAATATTACATAAACACAAATTTGGTTTTAGTAGTAAGTTAGCTTAAATTAGGTTAGTAATAGAAGTATGTGTTTAAAATATTTATAAATTAACAGGAATCCCGGTTTGGGTAAAGGCCTCCTCCAAAGATGTCCATTTTTGTCGGTCTTATGCAATGGAGCGCCAGTTTATGCCAGCTACTCTTTTCAGATCGTCTTCCCAGCGGGCTAAGGGTCTCCCCTTCCTCCTCTTGCCTGGTGGTCCTTTCCACTGTGTAACTCGTGTAGTCCACCTTCCGTCAGACATTCTTGCTACATGGCCAGCCCAGTGCCATTTCATTTTAAGAGCAAAGGTCAAAGCGTTTGTGACTTTAGTGATGTCTCTTATCTTTGTGGTTCTTATTTTGTCTATTCTCTTTATGTTTAGCATACTTCGCTCTAAACCTCTTTGACATTTATTAATTTTGTTGATAACTTGTGTAGAGAATTTCCAGGTCTGGCTTCCATAAGTTAAGCTTGGTAGTAGACATGAGTTCATAACTTTAGCTTTGAGAGTTATTGGTAGGTTATTTTTAAATATTTCTTTTAAGCTCCAGTATTTATTAAAGGTTTGTTGAACCCTTCTCTCTATTTCTATGGTGTTGCTGTTTTTCTCGAAACTTATTATTTTTCCCAGGTAGATATAATTTTCCACATATTCTAAGGGGTTACCGTTAACCCGGCGTCAGCATGGTAGAAAATAGGTACAACAACTGCATGATGGGTCATAATTACCCAGATTTTAAACCGTAGCTGATTTTTACCATTTCAATGACATTTAGAGCAAATTTGTGTTTAACTTGAAGAATAGTTCTTAAGTTATAATATTTTGGAGACAAAATAAAAAAAATAAGTTATTTAAAGATCTTTTTATGTATTTAAGAAGTCGGTTACAAAAAAAAATTCAACTTCTAGAAACTTATTAATAAAAAATAAAAAAAAAGACTAAATAACACTTATTTTTAACTTTTTGGAATGACAAATATGAGATCTTTAAGAAAGTATATGTAAAAATTTTAAAGAATCTTAGGGTTAATCACTATTAGCCTCGTCATCTACGCAACCGCCACAGAAGGAAATTATTTGTTCAGGGCAGATGAATTTGTTGCATCTTTGACAGGTATGGGTAGTTTTCCTGTCTTTTTTAGCGGGGCATATCTGGCATCGTTTACGAACACCATGAACTTTAGCAGGGGGCTCCTCTGATGTTTCTCCTGTAAACTCTCTTATTCTTTTGCGCATCTCCTTGCTCAAGTGATCATTTATAAGAGCAAGACATTATCTTTACTCTGATTCGTGAATTTGTATATCTGAGAATAGCGTCCAACATTTCACTATAGAAAAAAATGTTCCAGCACTCCTTTTCAGATTTAGCACATCCAGCTCCAGACTGAATTCCTGGCGTAAAAGTAATAATATTTTCTGATCGGATGCGAACATTTTGTCTAAAAGGTTTTTTGCGCCATATTGTACCATCTTTACCAGAATAAGTTGAAATCAGTAGCTCATGATTCGATGTTTCTGCATCCGATGAATTGCGCTGATTAGATCTACGTACGGAGGAATACACTTGACGTTGGATGACACTCAAAGGTACATCATTATTATCATTTTCTGATGCCTCTTGCTCGGTAACACTCTGTTGAGAACGCTCGCTAACGTGATAATCTTCCTCGCATTCCGAAGAATTTTCACCTTCTTCCGAGTCGCTTTCTTTAATAGTTATAGGTTTTATTCGTGCATTAGTCATTGTCTTAGTCTTCGTTAGATTCATTTCCAATCCAACTTTCGCACTCGCTTGTTGTAGAGATTCTATCATGTTTTCCATCTCGTTGGCTGTCTCTGATAGAAGTATCAGGTCATCAACGAACCTCAGATGACTTAAGTAGGCGCCTTTTATGTAGAGTCCTGTTTTATTCCAATTCAACTTTTGAATGATGTTTTCGAGAATGGCTATGAAAACAGTGGGTGAGAACGGGTCCCCTTGTCTTACGCCTCTTTCTATATGGAAGGCGGGGCCTGAGGTTTCCAGCTTGATTCTTCCTTTGTTGTTATTGTATTCTTTTAATCACATTTATGTATTTATTTGGCACCTCTTGTTCTTTTAAACTTTCCCATATACTTGTATGTGTGACCGAATCGAAGGCTTTTTGATAATCAATAAAAGTGATGTAAAGAGGTCTTTGAAGCTCTTGATATTTCTCTATAATTAATTCGATGGTGTGGATGTGGTCGATAGTAGAGTACCCTTTCCTGAAGCCTGCTTGTTCTACAGGTTGTTTTGCTTCTATTATCGGGCTTATTCTACTATTTATAATCGATGAAAAAAGTTTGTATATATTTGGTAACAAACTACTTGGTCTATGGTTGCTAATATTTTTTGGATCGCCCTTTTTAAATATAAGTATCCTTCTGACCATTCTATATGCGTTACAGAACTTAAAAGTATAGAATTAAACAGCTCAGTTAATGGTACTGCCAAAATTTGGTGGGCATATTTTAGTGATTCATTTGTGACATTGTCAGAACCCGGGCTTTTTTCGAATTTCAGTTTCTTTATTGAGTTTATTACTTCGGTTTCGTGGATTGGTTGTATAGGGTGACAGTCTACTGTTTCTATTTCAAGTTTATTGGTGGTTAGTCGTCTTTTGTCTCTATAGAGTTTCTTGTAGAATTTAGTTGCTGTTCTGACAATATCCGTTCGGTTATATAGGTCTCTATGAAGGGTTTTCAGTTCTTCTATCCAAGAACGGTTTGTTCTGAGTTCTTTTTATGCTCTTTTTGAGCTACTGTAAAGCTGGAGGTTTTTCTCTATTGTTTCTTGTCTATATTTTGCGTAGTCTCTCTTGATGTATTTATTGACCAGTTTAAACAGTGCGGAGAGTTCATTTTTCAATGAGCGTGTTTTATTTTTAGTTTTTTGTAGTTCTTGTCTTCTTTTTAATAGTTTTAGTGTGCGTTCTTGTAGTATTTTATGTTTTTTATTGATTTCTATATTTGTTTTAGCAAGGCTCAAGCTTTGTTGGATGGCCTTTTTTATTTTTTCGTAGGAGATTTGCATCGGACTGTTCTCTTGGTCAACTGGTTGATTTGATGGCTCCAAAAGAAAGCTTGATAGGTTTTCTTTGTATTTTCTTACTTCATCTTTGTTTTTGAGTTGACTTATTTTATTATTTGTGAACTTGGACCTATTTTCTTCTGCGTGGTAAGCTTAATTTTACACCTGACAGGACGGTGGTCTGATGTGTAGCTTAGATTCAAAATTCAAGACATATTTTCGAATAGTTTATGGTGATTTGAGAGGATGTAATCAATCTCGGTTTGTACTGGCCGTTTTGTGACCGCCAAGTCCATCTGCGGTTTTGTTTTGTCTTGAAACAGGTGTTTATAATTGTTAGCTCATGTTCTAGCGCGAAGTTAACAAGTCTCTGACCTCTATTGTTTCTTTCTAAATTTCCGTATGGTTTCATAACCAGAAATTCGTTTTCTTTGGGGGCTCCAACTTTTGCATTGAAGTCTCCCATTAAAATGGTGTGTGTATGTGGTGTTTCTAAGGTCTTTTCTATGGTTTTATAAAATTCGTCGATTTCGTGTTCGTTTGCTGTTTCTGTAGGTGCGTATACTTGTATTATTGATATCTTGTTACCTGCAAAATTCATGTTGAGAGTTGCTACTCGTTCTGTTGTTCCTATAAAGCTCTCTATATTCTTTTTCCGTGACTTGTGTATTATGAATCCCACCCCATATTTTCCGGGTGTAGATCCCATGCAACAAAGTATAAACGTGTTCTTCTATTTTGTTACCCTGTCGTCTAACTTCCGAAATTCCCATGATGTCGTAGTTTATTTTACTTAAACATTCTTCCAGTTCTAATATTCGGTCGTATGATGACAGGGTTCTGACATTTGTAATAATAAAAAAATAAAAAAAATTAATTTAAGTGTGTTGGGTCTGTTTTAAAAGAAATAAAAACTAGACTGGTGGCATCAAATAGAAACAAAATAACAAAATAAAAGTCTCGGGCGCCAGATACCACCTTAAAAGAACACAGAACCCACCACAAACACAACAAATACCTCGGACATCTCAGCCAACATTGAACCTTTTTAAAACAAGGCGGGAGGAGGAGGGAGTTCCAATGGCAGTTTATTATCCCGTAGTGTCTGTAGAGTACAATGTGACTTATGTCTCTAATTACAATAGGTAATTCTTATACACAAATTAGTACTGTCATTAATGCAATCCTTTCCAATAAGAAAAATATAAGGTTAAATAAGTTTTAAAGAGTCACATGAAGACCCAAAAAGAAAAGAGTTTAAGGGTAGTTGTAGCAACGCCCTACTCCCTTAATTAAAATTAACCCCTTTGGGGACCTGTATAGGTTTTTAAACAAAGTCGCATAAAGACTTAATAGACAAAACAATAAACTCTAAAGGTAGACATAGCATTGACCTACTCTCTAATAAAAATAACACCCCTTGGGGACCTGCAGTATTCAATGCCACGTCGCCAAGAAAAATAATAATAATAATAATAATAATAATAATTTATTGACATTTAAGTTGGTACACATATGATTGAGAATCCCCTGGCTCCTGCGCTAGTTTATTTTATTATAGTTTAGTTTAATATATAACAAAACACATACCGATGACCTTGGATCAGTCCGAATGAAATGAAATCAAACCAACTCCGAGAACTTCTCACTCCGGTTCCCACGTGGTGTAAGAGGCGGGTTAGCACTCCCCGGCTCCAGACAATGGCGTGCAGCTAAGCAGCTTTTTCTACCAATCCGGTGCTCCACAGCAATCTAATTTCTTGGGGTTAAACTCCGGCGAGAGACAAAAATCCGAATGCCACGCAATGACATTCCAATAAGAATGTAAAGAAATTTAGGTATAAAAGGAAAATAGAGTATAATTAAAACTTTAGATATAAACCAAAAAACCCTGATTCATCTGCAAATAAGGAAAAATTATAGGTTAAAAGCCTATCTCATAAGATGAATCCTAACTCCGACAAGAAATCATATACCACTTACCAGGGTCCCAAAATGCTTCACAAATTAAGCAGCGGCATTATAAGCATTGCCTGTAACCAATTAAACAAAGAGTTAAAACCACAAATTCTGCCAAGCCAAGCGTGAAGCACGTGGCCGAACAAAACTTACCTTTTCAACAAAAATAATCACTCGAACCAATAACTCGAGTCCTAACTAGGTTGGCCAAACATTTAAAGAGGAAATAGGCCCTCGTCCATATCAAATAAATAAGGATTACTAATAAATTAAATTACAAAATCTAGCTTCGCTTCATTTCATTCGGCGGTCAGTCCAAAAGTGACCAACGTGTTGCCAGAGCAAAAGCTTGTCGATTCCCTAGAACGTAAAAAATGTTGCCAGGACAAGAAAAACTAAATCGACTAACTAATTGCGGGCGAACAACATCGATTATTACTCTCGTCCGCCCCTCGACCATCGGCACTCGCAGAAACGATAAAAAATTCAACCTAACAAAACAAAAACGAGACTAAGGTTCAAATTACTGTAATGGTGCGAAATGCACCGTTACACATTGTATGTTATAATGTGTAAGGTTGAGTTTGAGTTTGGGTTTTATACCTTTGGAGGGTTTTGGTCGTAATCTTCCACGGCGACCAGCCGGGTTGGAAGATTTTTTGTGGTTTTTATTGGAGTTTGTTTATTTGTGGTATCTGTGTGAAGAAGAGAGGGGGTTAGTTGCTATGCATTTTGAATCGTAGTATTTTTATTTGTCAGAAAGTTCAACATGCTCGGTTTTATAACTCTCTGTTTGACCTTGTCACCTTGATTTTTGAGCCAGACTGTTGTTGTTTATTCTTTTTTGTTTTATTTCCTTGGATACCATTGCTTTCAGGTGATATTGAGAGATTTCTCTTGTTTTCTGTGTTCCTGTTTTTGTCTAGTATTTATTATAAGTTTATCGTATTTTATTATGTCAATGTTTCCCTTTTCTCTTTCAATCTTTATTTGCTCTTGTAATTCTTTTTTTTTAATTAAAATGTCCCGCGGATAGTCTTCCTTTATATAGTATGTTGTGTCTTTCAGTGCAATTTTTTGTTTAAATATATCGATTTTTAATTCTAGGTTAGAAAAAGTGACAACGATTGGTCTAGGTCTTTCTCCTTTTTTTCCAATTCTCTTTATTTCTTGTATGTCTCTTCGTTCAATGTTTATAATATAATATTACTAGAATATTCTACACATGAATGGCGTCTCTCAACAAGTCGCTTCAGAAATTGGTAAAATGCCCTTATCGGGCCTATAAAGGTCATAGGGCACCCGACCAGCACCGCCTTGCCTCGCCTCGAGCGGTTCGTATTCTTTTTATGGAATACAATGGGTCGTTCATTTTCTGATTAACAACGCGGCGGTCCACCCGTTGACCACCCGTCGAAAACGAGTGGACATCGAGTTGAGGTGGTGCTGGTCGGGTGTCGGGCTATGACCTTAACTCTTCATACCCTCGTGAATTAATACGTCCATACAATGTGAGGCATCAACGCTAGTAGTCCTAGCTACACGGGTGTACAGAGACAACTGAAACAAGTACCTACTATTTTTACGGTCAGAATCGCCCAGAATCGTCTTCGTCGGTGAGGACAGGTTTAAATACACATTTTATTTTGAGCCTGTATTTATATTCGCTAAGACCTAGAAAGTTTACTCGAAGTTGTTCTTTCCTCGTAGTTCGGATGGACTCTCTGGAAGGTTCTTAACAATATGTGAGACTTTAAATGATACTCTTTAGTGGTAGGCTTCATATGTATGTAAGCCACATTATCGTGTTAGTGAGATTCCACGTCTCCTCGTTGCTCTCTATATTATAAAACATGTCAACACATGATGTGGCCACGATGTGGCTACGTGCTATACCATTGACGTGCGGGGTGTTCCAGCGGTGTGCCTGGCGGAGGGCGCGTGCTCGTACTGCTAGGCGGCGGCGCTGTGGCACCAGCTGGTAGCAGCACGGCCAGCTAGCGCTACAGCGCCGCCGCCTCGCAGTGCCCGACAAGCGTCGTGCGCGCGCTCGTGCCCGACAAGCCCAAGCCGCAGCCCGAGGTACGTACCTTCCGCTGCTGTATTTTTTTCATATATGACTTAAACACAAAAAAGACGTTTAGTAAAATCTTTACCGAATGTCTTTTTTCTCCAAGTGTTTCACGGTATAAGTGTTATCAAATTATATATTTAAACCACATTTAGAAAATAAAAATGCTCACCAAATGTAAGTCCGCAACACCACTGTGTTCCCAAACAGCCCTCTTTCGAAGACATATGGCCCGAAACACAACGCGACAAAAAGGGCCAGTCGGAAGACGAACGTAGCAAATCTGGGGGTACTCCCGCCACTTCTGTGGACGCCCTCATGTCCATCGCTCATCCATTAAGCATGGGAGGAGACAAGAGTTCCGTCAGTGGAGTCCTCGTGCACATGCCCCATGTACGTATATCCGTATGTAAGTTTTGGTGTTGTGATGCTATCTTTTTACGTTATGACATGAAAAATTTGAAACATGAAACGAAACTGTGCCGACTTCCACATACGGTGAAACGAAAAAACATGCTACAGAGCCATCTAACGAAAACACACCGAACTACGTAAAAACTGCTAATCCTGTATCGCGATATTCCCAACATCAACCGTTCAGGCATGATCACTTCGCCTGGTCGAAGGATCCTCCCTGTGTGTTGGAAGGACATGACACCCGTTCCTCCACATACCTTATTATTATATACACGTAACAGTATTTAATGAAGCTTTAATAAAACGCTAGATACCTGTCCTGGCTCAACCGCTTCTTTCTTCCACTGCTCTGCCTTCAGTGGTTCATAAACTTTCCATTCTTAGATGTATAATTTTTTCATACAGATATAAAAAATACCAAATTTGTGTAGAACTTATTTTATTGCAAAAATGATTTGTTGAACATGGTTATCATGGCGGAGATATCCTCCTTTGTAAAGTGGGTTTCGTTCGTTGGTTTTCGATTTTAATTTTTTTAGGGTATTTTTTTGTTTGTTTGTTTAGTTACAGGTGTATAGTTTGTTTAATAGTTCTTATATTTTTCATGTCACATCGCAAAAAGACATCGGTGTAGCCAGCCTGACACCAATGGTGGGTTACAAGACCAAACAGACTTTTCAAGAAGCTAGGCTAGCTACCTTTTACGATTTAATTTTCTCACTTGGTCTAGTAATGGTCTTTTATAATTTATTATTAATAGCATTTAATGTTTCTAATAATTAAATTCTTATTACAAATTGCATGAATATTTTAGCAGGATGTCAACGAATGCAATTAACGTTGTTTGTCGTTTCTATTTTATACACTGTTGTATATCAGCGTCCTTACACCATTATAAAATAAATGTTTAAATAGAATTTACTGTCACTCTGTCAGTAGTGAGAGTGATAGTTATAGCGGATAGATAATAATAAAAAAACAAGTGCGGTTGGGTGGTTTAAAATATCAGGTCCTTATTTCATTATGGACGCAACTTTACCTAAAGACTCCTCACCCGATCTATTTATAATTTTTGGCCTATTAGAAGGATTGTGCATGTCTCAGTAATACTTGAAATAAAATCTCTTTTTTGTCCTGTTTTTATTAACTTACGTAGGCTAAAAGTGTTGAACGTTACTGGCATTTTGTTGATTATTTTCTGATAGTTAAATTAGACGTCCTAATATGCGGATATCGAGTTTTTATTTAGTACCGAATACCAATCAAAAGCAAAATTTAACGCAAACTGACAAATCAGACGGAATAAATTACTATAAAGCTGATACAAAATAAAAAAATTGAGCTTTGTTCCCTGAAATTTTACCAACGAAGTATTTTTTTTAATCGAACTAAATTTATATAAGTAAAACAACGAAATTATTAATATAGACAAAAAACCGGATTATTAATATCCGCGATATAAAAATTAGTGCAAACAATAATTAATATTGAATGAATATTTTTAAATATGATGATGAATATTTTTTTGGTGTTATAATGAGTGTCGCTCGAAATACTTTCAGGCGACACTCGTTAAGACGTTACACTTTTTGTAGAAGAGGTCCTAAACTACGAGGGTTGCTATTTATGCATCCGGAATAACAAAGTAAAACAAACATATTATAGTCTTTATTATAGTTTTATTGCTTATCAAAATATTCGCCGTTAAATATACGTTGGAACTAATTTTCGTATGATATTTTATTTGATGTATTTTTTGGTTTATAAGAGTGCGCTCGAATAGAAAGTACT